ACAACAACCTTGTTCCCTTCCAGAATGTTGTCATATGCAGATGTGTGGTGCGTGGGATTCATCACAGTAATGTTTCATCAACCTTGTTGGAAAGCAACGAACCAGATGCGAGATCAGTCAGTCCTATATTATTGTTTGATGAATCTTCTTATGTTGATGATGGCGACTTGATAGACAAGTCCAGGGCATCATCTCCTGAGTCAGCAGTATCTCAAAGTGAATGTAGGCCTCTCTCTCCAGACTCACCTATCCCCCAGTTTAGATCCTATGATGTCACCCAGCATCATGATTTCTCAGGGCATAGGTCTTGTACACCATCGTCAACAGTCTCAGACTGGGAAGGCACTGATTTCTTCCTAGAAAACCTCTTTGATGAGGCTAGAGCACAGTCACCACAATCAGATATATCAGACCTCCAACTTGACAGATTGTTTAGCTGCAGACCATTGTCCCCAGAATCGTTGTCCTCTGAATTTGACTATGCACTAATGCAAGATTGGTTGTTAGACTTCAGAGCATCTTCTCCAGAATCAGTGGTTTCTGTTGAGGAATCTCTCACTGAACCGCCATCGACTGTTGGTCAATTGATGGGTCAACACTGTAACTATTTCTTGAAATATTCTCATAGTAGAACCTTTATCTCCTCATTCAGATCTATCAGAAACTGACGATGTCACTTATAATTTAGGAGAACTATTTGATCCCAGTAGACCAGATACTCCAGATTCCTTTACTTCAGAAAGTAAGGCTAGTTTTATCAAACCTGCAATAATCTCGACAACAACCTTGTTCCCTTCCAGAATGTTGTCATATGCAGATGTGGTGCGTGGGATTCATCACAGTAATGTTTCATCAACCTTGTTGGAAAGCAACGAGCCAGATGCGAGATCAGTCAGTCCTATATTATTGTTTGATGAATCTTCTTATGTTGATGATGGCGACTTGATAGACAAGTCCAGGGCATCATCTCCTGAGTCAGCAGTATCTCAAAGTGAATGTAGGCCTCTCTCTCCAGACTCACCTATCCCCCAGTTTAGATCCTATGATGTCACCCAGCATCATGATTTCTCAGGGCATAGGTCTTGTACACCATCGTCAACAGTCTCAGACTGGGAAGGCACTGATTTCTTCCTAGAAAACCTCTTTGATGAGGCTAGAGCACAGTCACCACAATCAGATATATCAGACCTCCAACTTGACAGATTGTTTAGCTGCAGACCATTGTCCCCAGAATCGTTGTCCTCTGAATTTGACTATGCACTAATGCAAGAATTGGTTGTTAGACTTCAGAGCATCTTCTCCAGAATCAGTGGTTTCTGTTGAGGAATCTCTCACTGAACCGCCATCGACTGTTGGTCAATTGATGGGTCAACACTGTAACTATTTCTTGAAATATTCTCATAGTAGAACTTTATCTCCTCATTCAGATCTATCAGAAACTGACGATGTCACTTATAATTTAGGAGAACTATTTGATCCCAGTAGACCAGATACTCCAGATTCCTTTACTTCAGAAAGTAAGGCTAGTTTTATCAAACCTGCAATAATCTCGACAACAACCTTGTTCCCTTCCAGAATGTTGTCATATGCAGATGTGGTGCGTGGGATTCATCATAGTAATGTTTCATCAACCTTGTTGGAAAGCAACGAGCCAGATGCGAGATCAGTCAGTCCTATATTATTGTTTGATGAATCTTCTTATGTTGATGATGGCGACTTGATAGACAAGTCCAGGGCATCATCTCCTGAGTCAGCAGTATCTCAAAGTGAATGTAGGCCTCTCTCTCCAGACTCACCTATCCCCCAGTTTAGATCCTATGATGTCACCCAGCATCATGATTTCTCAGGGCATAGGTCTTGTACACCATCGTCAACAGTCTCAGACTGGGAAGGCACTGATTTCTTCCTAGAAAACCTCTTTGATGAGGCTAGAGCACAGTCACCACAATCAGATATATCAGACCTCCAACTTGACAGATTGTTTAGCTGCAGACCATTGTCCCCAGAATCGTTGTCCTCTGAATTTGACTATGCACTAATGCAAGATTGGTTGTTAGACTTCAGAGCATCTTCTCCAGAATCAGTGGTTTCTGTTGAGGAATCTCTCACTGAACCGCCATCGACTGTTGGTCAATTGATGGGTCAACACTGTAACTATTTCTTGAAATATTCTCATAGTAGACCTTTATCTCCTCATTCAGATCTATCAGAAACTGACGATGTCACTTATAATTTAGGAGAACTATTTGATCCCAGTAGACCAGATACTCCAGATTCCTTTTACTTCAGAAAGTAAGGCTAGTTTTATCAAACCTGCAATAATCTCGACAACAACCTTGTTCCCTTCCAGAATGTTGTCATATGCAGATGTGGTGCGTGGGATTCATCACAGTAATGTTTCATCAACCTTGTTGGAAAGCAACGAGCCAGATGCGAGATCAGTCAGTCCTATATTATTGTTTGATGAATCTTCTTATGTTGATGATGGCGACTTGATAGACAAGTCCAGGGCATCATCTCCTGAGTCAGCAGTATCTCAAAGTGAATGTAGGCCTCTCTCTCCAGACTCACCTATCCCCCAGTTTAGATCCTATGATGTCACCCAGCATCATGATTTCTCAGGGCATAGGTCTTGTACACCATCGTCAACAGTCTCAGACTGGGAAGGCACTGATTTCTTCCTAGAAAACCTCTTTGATGAGGCTAGAGCACAGTCACCACAATCAGATATATCAGACCTCCAACTTGACAGATTGTTTAGCTGCAGACCATTGTCCCCAGAATCGTTGTCCTCTGAATTTGACTATGCACTAATGCAAGAATGGTTGTTAGACTTCAGAGCATCTTCTCCAGAATCAGTGGTTTCTGTTGAGGAATCTCTCACTGAACCGCCATCGACTGTTGGTCAATTGATGGGTCAACACTGTAACTATTTCTTGAAATATTCTCATAGTAGAACTTTATCTCCTCATTCAGATCTATCAGAAACTGACGATGTCACTTATAATTTAGGAGAACTATTTGATCCCAGTAGACCAGATACTCCAGATTCCTTTACTTCAGAAAGTAAGGCTAGTTTTATCAAACCTGCAATAATCTCGACAACAACCTTGTTCCCTTCCAGAATGTTGTCATATGCAGATGTGGTGCGTGGGATTCATCACAGTAATGTTTCATCAACCTTGTTGGAAAGCAACGAACCAGATGCGAGATCAGTCAGTCCTATATTATTGTTTGATGAATCTTCTTATGTTGATGATGGCGACTTGATAGACAAGTCCAGGGCATCATCTCCTGAGTCAGCAGTATCTCAAAGTGAATGTAGGCCTCTCTCTCCAGACTCACCTATCCCCCAGTTTAGATCCTATGATGTCACCCAGCATCATGATTTCTCAGGGCATAGGTCTTGTACACCATCGTCAACAGTCTCAGACTGGGAAGGCACTGATTTCTTCCTAGAAAACCTCTTTGATGAGGCTAGAGCACAGTCACCACAATCAGATATATCAGACCTCCAACTTGACAGATTGTTTAGCTGCAGACCATTGTCCCCAGAATCGTTGTCCTCTGAATTTGACTATGCACTAATGCAAGATTGGTTGTTAGACTTCAGAGCATCTTCTCCAGAATCAGTGGTTTCTGTTGAGGAATCTCTCACTGAACCGCCATCGACTGTTGGTCAATTGATGGGTCAACACTGTAACTATTTCTTGAAATATTCTCATAGTAGAACCTTTATCTCCTCATTCAGATCTATCAGAAACTGACGATGTCACTTATAATTTAGGAGAACTATTTGATCCCAGTAGACCAGATACTCCAGATTCCTTTACTTCAGAAAGTAAGGCTAGTTTTATCAAACCTGCAATAATCTCGACAACAACCTTGTTCCCTTCCAGAATGTTGTCATATGCAGATGTGGTGCGTGGGATTCATCACAGTAATGTTTCATCAACCTTGTTGGAAAGCAACGAGCCAGATGCGAGATCAGTCAGTCCTATATTATTGTTTGATGAATCTTCTTATGTTGATGATGGCGACTTGATAGACAAGTCCAGGGCATCATCTCCTGAGTCAGCAGTATCTCAAAGTGAATGTAGGCCTCTCTCTCCAGACTCACCTATCCCCCAGTTTAGATCCTATGATGTCACCCAGCATCATGATTTCTCAGGGCATAGGTCTTGTACACCATCGTCAACAGTCTCAGACTGGGAAGGCACTGATTTCTTCCTAGAAAACCTCTTTGATGAGGCTAGAGCACAGTCACCACAATCAGATATATCAGACCTCCAACTTGACAGATTGTTTAGCTGCAGACCATTGTCCCCAGAATCGTTGTCCTCTGAATTTGACTATGCACTAATGCAAGAATGGTTGTTAGACTTCAGAGCATCTTCTCCAGAATCAGTGGTTTCTGTTGAGGAATCTCTCACTGAACCGCCATCGACTGTTGGTCAATTGATGGGTCAACACTGTAACTATTTCTTGAAATATTCTCATAGTAGACCTTTATCTCCTCATTCAGATCTATCAGAAACTGACGATGTCACTTATAATTTAGGAGAACTATTTGATCCCAGTAGACCAGATACTCCAGATTCCTTTACTTCAGAAAGTAAGGCTAGTTTTATCAAACCTGCAATAATCTCGACAACAACCTTGTTCCCTTCCAGAATGTTGTCATATGCAGATGTGGTGCGTGGGATTCATCACAGTAATGTTTCATCAACCTTGTTGGAAAGCAACGAGCCAGATGTGAGATCAGTCAGTCCTATATTATTGTTTGATGAATCTTCTTATGTTGATGATGGCGACTTGATAGACAAGTCCAGGGCATCATCTCCTGAGTCAGCAGTATCTCAAAGTGAATGTAGGCCTCTCTCTCCAGACTCACCTATCCCCCAGTTTAGATCCTATGATGTCACCCAGCATCATGATTTCTCAGGGCATAGGTCTTGTACACCATCGTCAACAGTCTCAGACTGGGAAGGCACTGATTTCTTCCTAGAAAACCTCTTTGATGAGGCTAGAGCACAGTCACCACAATCAGATATATCAGACCTCCAACTTGACAGATTGTTTAGCTGCAGACCATTGTCCCCAGAATCGTTGTCCTCTGAATTTGACTATGCACTAATGCAAGATTGGTTGTTAGACTTCAGAGCATCTTCTCCAGAATCAGTGGTTTCTGGGGAACTGTACTTTCATGACCAAATTCCTACACAGCATTGTCACTATTTCCTTAATTATTCTCAAAGCTTTTCATCCTCTGAGGAATTATATTCCGATTCCCCCATCCATACATTTCAGTCCCCTAGCCACTTTTTATCTACAGGAATTTCACAGTCATCAAATTCATTTTTCTCCGATTTGTCAATTGATAGTCTTTCAGATGATATTCAAAAAATACCAATCAACAATAATAATGGTGCCTCATCTCCTAATTTTGAAAAACAGATTAACATGAATAATCCATGCTACAATCATATCTCAGTATCTCCTCAATCATATAATTCAGTAGATGAAATACTTCCTTTGTCACCTGACTCTGTTCCTCATTTTGGTCTTGAATGTTCTTCTAAGTCTTCACCCGAATTATGTTCGTTGAGTTCAATCCAGTCTTTCAAATCTGACAACATCCAGACCCCTGATTTTTTAATACCACAAAATGATGATGGCATAACTCATAATATTTCAACAGAGCACATATCTTTCTCAGCTACAGAATCAAATCTTAAAAGTGTTAATCCCTTTGAGAAACACACACATCATGATCAATTCAGATTTCACAGAACAAGACTGATCGCACATGTTTATGATCCATTGTATAATGGATATTGATGTTTAATTATATAATACTATATAATATAATACTTGTAGTTGAAGAAAGTTGTAACTTTCTTCAACTACACTTGTAACTTGTACTTGTATGTATTTTAAGTATCTAGAGTTTCTCAGAACACAGGCATCAAATTTAACCAGTTAAAGCTAACATACCAAATGGATAATATTTTCAGATTCAGAGATTTTTTCTTAAAATATGTATTATTCCTTTCTAAATTTCACAAACAGTTCTATAAATTCATATTTATTAAAGTAGTGTTTGGTCCATATAACAATAATTTGTAAAATACTCAAAATATTTTAAAATATAGAAAAAAATGTTGAGTCACAAGGCAATGCAAAATGCACCTTTGTTGGAAATGACTTTGCTTGTGGATTATGGATGCAAGTTGCAGTCATCATCTTCAGACTCTACACTTTCCACTTTCAATGTTTAAGATTTGTTTTGGATTAAAATCAAGGAGAAACTTGAGAGTCAACATACCATGTTTTTGGTAAGAGAGCTTAATCGAATGCAGTGTTACTAGTAGTTGAAACACCATGGCATGTGTGCAATATGAGAGGAATGGCCTTTTAATAAACACAGCCTACAAAAGCCTGCTTTGGTTTTGGTACACTAACATTTGTACCTTGTGTATGGATATTATGTGGTTTAGTCTTTCCATATACATTAATATGCAAGTATTTTCCTTCAAGAATTCTGCTGGAATATTACTAATGTGCTTATTGTGATTCTGCTGCGCTGTTGTTGGCCTAATTAGCATTAAATTAGATCCAACAATGTCAAGTGAAAATATTGTTGACTGTTGGATTCAGATATTGTAAGTCCATTTGTGCCCTTCTTGTAAGATTACTTACTAGCTTACAATAATAATAACAAATTGTGTTTAAAACAAAAGGGACACAAATGCATTTTTTCTGTGGCTCATTTCATTGTACACATATTTTCATGTAAGTGCATGCTTATATTCCATCTTTCATAGCATTCATTTTAAATATCTACCACTTCATTTATTATTTCTTACAGATTCCAACAACATCATCCAAGAAAAATCTTTCAGAACCCTCAGAACAATCCATTCAGTTCAGTGAAAAACTGCCTAATTTATATCAGTCAAACACCTTGTCCTCTAACACACACTCACAGCTTTTGGGGCTTCTCACGAAGACTGAAGTTTCAATCACACCAACTGAACAAAATGAAGATTCTGTGTCTTCCATTCTTTGTTTTGAGACTCCAGATTTTGCCACTGTAGCTGATTTAGTCACTGGACCCACAGAAACTAACCAATCAGTAATCAGTTTGACTCACTCTGAACTCAGCAATGAAAGCCCAAATAACAAAACATCTTCTAATTTTTTCCAACAACAAAAAAGCCTGAGTGTAGATACAGACACCCAAATAATCACACAGACTAAACAAGACTTTCAAATGGTTGAATATATAAATCAAGAACCTATATCACAGTTAAACGTTGCTACTGATGAAAGTAAGTCTGAAGATCACCCTGTAGCAAAAACAAACCAGAATAATTACATAGCTGAAGCACCATCAATGTCTTTTCCCAAAATGGATGATGCCACAGCTTGTGTTTCTGACAACATTTCTGATGGTTCTTTGGCACCTTTTCACCATGAGGACACTGAGAATTATCTGGATGGTGGAAGACAAAGCAAATCAGAAAATGTGACCACTACTCAAGATTTTAACCTATCCATTGATGACCATGATTCCAATATTGGTGCAGCAGGGATGACTATATCAACACCAGAACCTAATTCAGATGCATCCATATTAGAGCCAAGCCATGACCCTTTACTTGAAGAGACGAAGTGTATTTTAGAAGACATACAGCCTCTGGAGATAACACAAGGAAGCCAAAATGAAATATCTTCCTTGATGCCCCCCTCTAACATAGAGAACAGTCGGGATTACCAAAAAAAGGACATGACCACTCTTTATCAGGATTCTATCAGTTCTCAAGATCTTGATTTAAAAGTCTGCTCCATTACTGAATATCCTGATGTTCTGACAAAGTCTGTTGCATCAGAAGTAATTCAATCAAATGAAGACCCTGTATCAGATGAACCAATATTAGATTTAAGCCAGTCAGGCAGTGGCCAGTCGTCCTTTGCAGAGCATCAGGAGAGTTCTGATGAAAAAGATCAGGGTTTAGAGCTGGTAATACAAACTGACAAAAGTACAGCTGAACCATTGTCCAATGTATCTATGACAAAGCAAGAAGAAAGCCTATCCCGCAAAGACAGTGATGACTATTCGACTGATGTTTTTGAAACTTATGACAACAAGCCTTTTGAAGATTTTTCTAGCAGTAGAGATGTTCCTGTCTCTGAAAATGTTGATAAAAATGACATGGCTGCACCAGAAGCATCAAGATTTTTTGGTTTTGAGGAACTTTTACCGCCTATGACGATTGAGAGCCCTGTGAAGCCAATTTTGCATCATTCAGAGGAGTTAATGACACCAGTGGAGATTTCTGAAGCTCGAACATCGGTTGATTCTGAACAGGCATTATCACCATCAGATGATGAATACTGCATCCCACCCGGTTACGACGAGGTCTCCAATACTTTTAATGACAAACCTACGCACACCAAAGCAGCAAGCCCAACTTTTGAGCTTTCTGACACAGAGGCATACTTTGATTGTAAACAAGCAGCTTCAGATTTCTCAGAGACAGAATCTGAGGAACCTGAGTTAAAATCCCAATCACGTCAACAGTATTACAACTATGGAAAGAAGCAAGGGTTTTTTCATCAGCCTCTCTTACCTTCTGGAAGTAAAGATTGTGAAGATTATCCTTTTGCCTATGAACCTCTTTACCATGTACAAGAGGAAAATGAAGAGAGTTCTGAGGAGGAATTCTCCTTGTGTGAAGCTCCACCAAAGACAACTGTATGTGAAACTGGAGATAGTGACGAAGATGACACTAACGATTCAATCTCAAGGGTAAGATGGAACCCAGAAAACTAATCCAGAAATGAATCCCAGCTTTTGGCAAAAATATATTTGCTTCACGTGGGAATGTCTGCTAACAATGCGGCTGTAGATAGAACTTTTCACCACTTTCATGATTTCATTATTTTAACTTTTTCACTCACAGAAGCTTGTCACTGCTAACCACAACCACTGCTTGCTCACAAACACGCCAACCATTTGTTTCACATCATTAGGTCATCTTATTGCCAGCATGATGTAGCAATTTGTTACAGATTGCCATGATGTACTTTCCTACATTAGTAAAATACCATGAATCAGACAATTGCTGGAAAGTGCACCATAACAGTCTGACCACTGTTTTGCTCTGCTTCAAACACAAATGCTTTCTCTGCTGTTCAACTTTATATAAATGACTTATGTTGATGAATTAGGAGATCGAAGCAGAACTTGGAACAATGTCAGAAAGTTCTGATGAGGAATTTTTGACCACAAGGATAATTCGAAGAAGGGTTATCATTAAGGTATTTGTTCTGGCATGATGGGTGGTGTGCAGAACTATATGATGTAATGGCAGTTTATGACTGTTTGCAGTGTCTGAAACTTACATTTGACTAAAAAATGCTTTCATTTAAAAGAAAAGTCTGTGTATTTTTCCAAAAACTAAACTAATGTTTTGTCATGTATTTATCTGTTTCTTTCCCTAACCTTTTTTAAAATGCAATCGCACGTCTGGAGAGCCACTGTTCCAGTTTTTTTTTTTTTTTCTGAAACCTCTGTAGTTAATACAGCAAGAACACATCTACTTTTACAACAAAAAATCTTCTTCTTCTTCTTCTTACTATTATTATTATTATTATGCTTTCAGGCAGATGAATTGGATGATATTCCACCTCAGTCAATCTCTGAAGAAACATACAAGGATGAAAATGGACGCACTGTTACAAAAAAGGTAGGTCTACATTTTTGCTTTTTTATTGGTGCTTTTCAGATTTTAGAATCTGATAATGTCATACTCAGTTTTCCGTATTGATTACATTGTACTTTACTATGAAATATCAAAAAGGTAAATTCACAAATGTCAGCTCTGGTATTTTCAATTATTGACTAAACCCTAGAACTCACTGTATTACAACATAGTTTTGCATTTTAACAATATTAATTTTAGCTTCCCCCTCTTCTGTATTAATTAATATTGTTCTTAGGGGTGTCAAATTATCGCGTTAATTGCGATTAATTAATTACAGTCATATTTAGCGCGTTATGTTTTTTAACCGCGTTAATCTAATTTTTAATCTCTAACTTTAGTGTTTCTGTATGCGAGTTGCTTTATTATAAAACCTGTTTTTATGTGTTGTTGGGACAACAACACACACACACAAACACATTTATAATTTTTTTATTTCGGTAATTCCACTCATTGCCGGAAACCCACACAAAACGTGCGCAGTAAGAGCGATGTAAACATTATGTTGACGCTGACGGCGTCAGTCGCACAATGGACGAAGTCGAAGAGCCAGTAGAACAGAGGCAGCAGTGCACAGGTAAAAACACATTCGTGTCTTGGAAATTATTCTCCCGACGTGAAATATAAAAGAAAATAACAAATATAATATCGCCTACAACTTAAATGTCACTGGTGAAAACAACCTGCATAGACTCATGATGTCTGCACTACTGTCCTATAGTGACCTGCCACATGAGGGGACACGCACACAAACACACACAGACAAACACAAACACAAACACACACAAACACTCAACTTCATCATTGTCATTAACCTGAGAACGCGCGGACCACGTTTCCTTCCGTAGTTACTGCGCAGACACCGACGTGCTCCCATGAGCCGCGTGTGGATCGTGTTTTCTCGCGTACGCGGCGTAAACCGCGCTTCCTCCTGTGCGCCTCTAAACCAGAACTAACACCAAGACTAAAACCAGGACTAAACCAGTCCAGGACTAAACCAGGACTAAACCAGGACTAAACCAGAACTAAACCAGAACTAAAACCAGAACTTAAACCAGGACTAAACCAGGACTAAACCAGGACTAAACCAGAACTAAACCAGAACTAAAACCAGAACTTAAACCAGGACTAAACCAGGACTAAACCAGAACTAAAAACAGAACTAAAACCAGAACTAAAACCAGGTCTAAACCAGGAATAAACCAGGACTAAACCAGAACTAAAACCAGGACTAAAACAGGATTAATTCATTCCAGGACTAAACTAGGACTAAAGTAGGACTAAAGCAGGTCTAAACCAGGTCTAAACCAGGACTAAAACCAGTGATCTCATATATAAAGCATTTCTCCATCAATAATATTTTTAATATGGTTAAGGAAAGACTGGACTTTTTATTGTCTTTAAGTAGACAAAAGTTTTTATGTTCAGATTTCCTCGTCTTTGCTACTTTACAGCAAACAGTTTCTTATTCATGGAGACTTGGGCTCAACAGCCAATTTGAAAAGATTTGTTAAACAATAAATGACTTTATAAAGTCACTTTTTTAAATCTATATCAGTCTTTTGATCTGCCACAATAATGTAATAATGAATTTAAATGAAAATACCTCAAATTGAAGGCTTTTCTCAGCAATTTTTAGGTGAGATTAAAATGAGATTAATTAGATTAATTAATTACAGATCATAATTAATTAATCTCTCAATTTTTTTAATCGCATGACAGCACTAATTGTTCTATAGATTGCTGTGATGTCATCTGAAACCGAGCAATACACATCACATTTAGATTGTCAGTGAGTGATATAACCATATTGGGTTGTTTTACCAGATTAAATGCCTAAACTCCACCCACATTCAAATTCCAGCAGCTAAATTGGTCAGTACCTGAAGGATTAAATAGGGAGAAGGGAGGAGCAGGGTCTGGACACCCGAGGAACAGTGTAAACAGTCTGACTGGCATAAACACTTCAAGCTGGTGACAGGTGTATCTATTTAGAGCAGAGGCATATGAAGTCGCAGGCCTGTGAAATGTAGCGGCTAGTTTTTGACCACAAAGCTGCAAATGAACCTAGTTTGTACCAAAACAGTAAAAATTATTAACTATGAACAGTAGCTATCAATACATTATGTAGAGAGTTTAGTAGCAGAAAGTGGATTCAATGTTAAGCCCAGTTAAGTAGATTGAAAAAAATGTCACTTCTATCTTTTTTTCTGTTTTTGCAGGTTACCCGAAAAGTTATCCGTAAATGTGTTTCTTCCTCTGATGGAGCTGAGCTAGAGCAGTTCCCATTAGAAGCAGGTGCCCAGGCCAGCATCAGGTCGCCCAAGGGTGATGGATATTCCAAAGTGATCAAGAGGACCGTAGTAAAGAGTGAAGGGGACCAGTCAGAGGTAGGTGCCATTTTCTACACTTGTGATATACAGAAGTAAGCATGATGGAGCATTGGAGCACATACTTTGTTGTCAATTCAGGTAACGTTTACTGAATGTGAGGGTCTGTCGAAGCAAGACCAAGCTGAAGGCGGCAGAGTCAGTTGTGTTGAGAAGACAGTGGTGCTGGAGGGTGAGCGGACAATGACACACCACGGTGATGTGACTTTGGCCTCAGATGTCCCCTCGGCACAAGATGATTTCAGACAGGTTGGTGAAAATATGTATTTGACTACATGATTCTACATGATTTTGTTTTACTCCTTTTTGTCATGAACATTTTAAAATATTTTTTGCTATCATTTTATGATTAGGCTTTAGGTTACATAGGTGGCTTTAATGACAAAGAGCTCCCTCGTGTGGTAGAGAAGCAGACTGTCAAAGATGATGGGACTCTAGTGAGGAGGTGTGAAGTTGTTGATTTAAATGCCTGAATTTGTTGGGTTGGATTTTTGATTAAAAAAAAAAAAAAAAAAAACTCTTGTTTAATCTAATAATGCATTTTACTAAAGGAACAGTATTGCAATTAATATTGTTTCCAACAAATAACATGTCCCTTGTGTGAATACACAAAAAAATGGCATTCGTTGTGTATATGGACAAAAACATTTGCTTTGATTTATTGAGCCTTGACATTAGGATTTGTTGAGTGTTTCCATGTGCATTGTGTGCATGCTTTACATTAACAAATATTGTCTAAAGGTTTATATCTTAGCAGGTCATTATCCTGGGGTACACCTTCTTAAATTACTAAAACTAATACAGACGACGCATATGCAGTGAAAGAGAAATTAATTAATTACTAAGTATGAAGCTTGTTGGTGTTGTTGTTTAAAATTCAATTCTGACAAAAGCTTGTGTCCAGTTAACAGAATTGAATTTTTCATTTGCTTTCCAGTAAGAATAAAAAAAATCTAACTACTCTGTCCTCTCCACTTCTGTGTACCCTTCTATAGGGCCCAGATGCGTAAAAGTCGCACTCTGAGGCGGACCATGGTGAAGGGAGCTGGCCAGAAAAAACAAGTGCTTTTGGAGCGAGTGGAGGGCCCTCGAACAGGTTCAAGGTCTACAGATCTTAAGCAGCATCTCCACCAGCTCTTTCACCATTACTACGAACAAAAACATGGAGAAGATGCCGACAAGAAGCAGGAAGAGTAGACTCACCGATTACTGCTTGAACCCACTCCCAAGCTAGAACTTTCCCTTAAATCCTATGCATTAGCCAGATGCAATCCCAGAGCGTGCTAAGTCACCTCTAAGTTACCATAGTCTTCCCATTTAGTCTTGAAACACTTTTTAATTTTAATTTCTATCCTTGTTTTATGTGACCAAAGAAAACATTTCCGTTTTTTTTTTCCCCTCTAATTTATTTCCATGCTAGAAGTTGTTGTCACTATGGTAGAGGATCACATACCAAGAACTATTAGCCCCATATTCATTATGTAACATGCAGACCTCTTCTATCCTCAAGAATAATTTACCTGCTAAATATTTCTACTGCTCTTGTCAATATATGCTTGGACTGTGCACTTACTCTCACCACTCCACTCACCATTATATGAAATCAGGTGGTCAAGATGTCATGTAGACCTTATGATTGCTCATATCCATTGCTGCTGCTTCTGTGTTTTGTGTAGGCTATATGTAATCTGAATTCTATATTATCTATTTAGAGGCATTATGGACATCTGTAGCCTAGAAACTAATAGCCACTCATGTGAAGTAGAGCAGGCATGACTAATCAACATCTGTCATTATGTTAGCTGCATAGTTCTGTGGACTGCTGCTACCTCCCCCTATGTGTATGTTTTCATTTATGTGATGTTATCCCATTTAATGTCTCTATATTTCTCATAATTCATAGTACGGATGGTGACAACTTCTATAATTGTTTCTTCATGCATGTATTTCTTATTTATTTTATGTAATGCATTGAATGTATTTTATTTTTATTTTTTGTAATGATGTGCCATTATTAGATGAGATTTAGATGATCTGTTACTGACTGGAACAATGATTTGAGGTATTATTTAAAAATTGAGTGTAAAATTGTCTTGTGTGTGAATGGATGCGTGAGCAGGTTCTCTCAGTATAGTAAAGGGACACAGTATTTACCACAATACGCATTGGCACTTCTGAATGTCAAACCCTCCATGCTTTTTGTGCACAGGCTTCAAGGTAAGACTAGAGGTTGAGAGCTTCAGTTTGCCATTATTCACAACGCTTTGTACTGTATGTATCTACAACATGTACTTAATGTATTTAATTCTTTCTCACAGTTCATTTAGTGACTTAGAGATACGTATGTACAATGCAAACTAGTGGAAGTTCACTGTGACAGGTATGCTTTTATTTTGAGCATCCTTCTTCTGTGATGAGTTATATATAATTAAATTTAATGCATATGTATAAATATCTAGGGCATGAACTACTGTATCAGAATTTAAAAAATACAATAAAATGACTGCAGTGTTTCCATGGCTGATATCGCAAATAAAAATATTCAAATACTGGACATAGTACTTGTTTCTGCCTTCAGTATTCATTATTTCTACTCACATTTTACATTAACATTTACATTTCTTTATGAAGTTAATAGTTCAATATCTTACACTGATAACTGGTAACAAATTCTTAGGTTACTCTAATAGAATACAATTTTTGGGTTATTGTACTTTTATGAGTAGATTATTAAACCTTTACTTCTAATTGAGTATATTTCTAATCATATAATTTTAATTAGTCATTTAAAGAGTAGAGTACTGCACAAGCCCTAATCATCCTGATCCAAGGCTGTGTCAGCTCTGTCTCTGCTCTTTTCTCAACTCACAAACCTACATAATGCAGACTGTGGTTTAAAATGACCCAATTCATATTTAAACTCTTTAATTTGCATAGAATACTGATTTAAAATGCCAGTAAAAATATGTTCAAAAGTAACAGTAGTTTTTTACTTTTACTTAAGTACAATTATGGAAGCAGTACTTGTACTTGAGTAAATTTTTAGCCATGTAACTGTACTTGCTAGTACAAATTTACAGTGCTTGTTCCAGACCACTGATCTGAAGAAAACATATTTAAAATCGTTCTAATAAACTCAGACCCAGTAAAGAAGGTAGTTCCCATAATGACCACAAGGTATGACTACAAAAATCTATAAGTTTCAAAAGGATGAAAGGGCTGTTGCCATCGTTTCTACAAAATGTTATATAATTGACTGGAGAATGTGTTTTTACATTTAACTCTTATTTATTATCACATTTCACAATTGTCAGTGATAATGAAACAGAAAGCTTTGTTCTTTCTTAATTTATTATCACATATTTTATTTTATTTTATTTGTTAAACATGTTAAGCCATCCATTGCCGTGCTGGCAACAGAACACACACCATATAAGGAGCGGTGCATTGCATTGACATCATACAATTCATCAAAAGAAATCTTTATCATGTTTTCCCTTTAAAAAAAGAAAAAAAGACAATTTTGAAGAGCATACAGCAATGATTACAAAGACACTATCACTGTCCGAAAGCAGCAGCGAGGTGACCACTGATCTCTGTGGTTGTCCAGGAAGACTTCCCCCCGGCTGCCTCAAAGTAGAGTCTCTGTACAACTGGTAAAGTAACACCCTGGAAATGACGAGAGGTAAATGACAACAAAAACCGTACATACACTCATACAGTACAGTACAAACATTATGAAAATGCCTTTCTGTCTTCTAGTTTTATACAAAGCGTCACGGGTGCTTGAGCATCCATTTGTCTGATATGATTTTGATAATTTCAGATTTTCATGTCATATTCATAGTAACTGTTTTCACAGTTCTTTGATATTGGCATTAGAAACATTTGACAGGACTGATGCACAACATTAATAACATATGCAAACAAACTAGTCAGTGATTCACAAATCAAACAGAAGATAGTATAGTTTCATATGATCTTACTCACATTACCCCCCCATGCACTACACAATAGTCTTGAATTTTCATATATTACATATATGCTACATTCTCTTAATTCATATTTCACTGATAATAAAGGCAAACATATCTTAATGCAAAGTGTAAGCTGCTTTGCTTTTCTTTACAATTAAATTAGGCTAGTATTAAAACTGGAGAATTCAAACAGTGTGACTTAGCTCATAGCAAACATAAATGTAGCTCACAAACTGGATTGGATGTCAAGTTGTAATTTGATGGTAAGAATACCCATTTCAATATCGGCTTAGATTTTGCTCAACAATCACAATGTAGTTATATACATCACCAGAAAGAAAGCAAGCTCAATTTGAACATTCTGATCTTCCAAATGTTTTTAGTATTGCACACACATGAATACACATAAAAATACAGAAGAAAAATTTCAGAGAGATTAACAGTAGTAGAGTTTTAAACATCTCTATTTTCATATTTAAAATGCATACCAAAACATCTTAAAAAAACAAAATGCCAATATGCTAATTTCAATGTCCAAATACACTGTGCTGCCACCTGGTGGTGGGTCAGAATGATGTCCATTGATAAAACTCCATTACAGTAAAATGTAGCTGTGTCCTGTGCAGAAGGGTCAGAGGTAAAAGGTCACTGGTCAGCTATTGGCTAGTGGATGGCCTTACTGTTGATGCTATAGACCGCAAGCTGACATTTCATTAACTGTCAAAAAGAGTAAAAAACAAGAGTGAATTTTAATTCAATATATATTATGCTATATTAGATCAAAAGCATGGCGTAAAGTAAAGACATGGGTCCCTTTAGGCTAAGGTTAAGGTTTCTTGTTGTGTCTCTGTTGTGTGTCTCTTACTGCGAGGGGATACTTGGAGAACCAGAGCGGTGGAAGTGGATGTTCTGCCACTTCCCGTCTCGACGGTGCCACACTCGAGTCTCCTCAGACTGCATGGTCCGGGGCATGCCACTGCCGTCCATGTACTGGGTCAAACGGATGTAAGCAATGCACGCCGCATTCTCTCCAATTAAGTGCACATGAGGATTTAAAAGAATAGTGTGCACTGGCTTATTCCCTTTAGACAGGGCTGAAAAAAAACACAGTTCTGATTGTGTAATATATTGCTTAAAGGTCCTATATTACACAAAGCTGAAACTTGCCATGTTATAATGTTGTTACCTCCTCCATACCTGGAGTTGTGTTTTGCTTCATTCACAGATGTTTGAGTAACTCTTTATTATTAGTCTGTCTATATCTCCGAAGCTCAAGTGGAGAACTTCCTGTATTACTACATGACATCATAAGGTGGAACAAAGTGTTTTCTGTTTGAGAGAAGAACTCATCCTAAATATGCTGGGTTTGTGTGTATGAAACAAAACAATTCCAGGTATGCTTGCGATAAGGAAACAGCATTATAACAGATCAGAAAACAGCGTAAAATGAAAATATATAATTTTTTTTTAAAAGACCAAAAACCAATAGCAAAAGTGTCTCCATATGTTGTTGCTTGACTGTGGAAAAGCGCCAATGCCCAGTGATTGAGGTTTCTGGGACATATCTGGTTGATCTGCTCTATTTTGATCCAGTCTGAGGACATTCTTCCATTTTTAGCAGTCATTATTCATCAGTGATTTTTTATTTTTTTTATTTTGCTCCAAGGTCACTATAATCACCGCTCTACCCTTGCAGAGAACCAGCAAATACAGTCTGGTCAATATTACAAACAAAATGACACAATTCAGTACCAGTCAAGCACTTGTTTGTAGTTCTCAATTCTGTAAAGAACGTGTATATTAAAGATGCATTATGTAACTTTGTCACATGCTTTTCTTCAGAGAGATGTTACTGCTTTGTCTGGAATGTTTCACAGTATAGCATTAAACCTTTCTATCTTTAATGGAGAACAAACCAGACCAAGTAATAGGTCAGATCTGCGGAGAGGCAACCTCACTCACAGTCAGAGTGCCTGTTTTTTCAAGGTAATTTTGACCTATAAAACCATCTGTAAATAAATAAATGTAAAGTAGAGCTGTTTAATGTCATACTGTGGAACATTCCAGGCAGAGCAATGACAGAAACAAGTAGGTGATGACCCCCAACCAAAAAGTTACATAGTGCACCTTTAAGGGTATATATACTATATCTGCCAAAGAACAAAATAAGAACTTACCATTTTCAAAATAAAAACGATGGAAGTCGTGTCCTTCCACCAGGTTTCCAAGGGCTTCAGGCTCAAAAGAGGTCAAACCAGGATCACAAATCTTCCTGTACATTACAAATGGGAAGAAAGTAAATAAATCTGTTATAAAAGTGAGTGAAAAAGTAGAAAATAAAACACATACGCATAAGCCTCAAAATCTCCATTGTTGATGGACTCAATCAGCTGCTCTGTGACTTTGATGATTTCCTGTTTGCGAGCTGAAACACAAGACCGAAGACATTCTCACTTTTACATACTTACAGTTAACTTTTTTTTAGGTATTTCAGGCATATGGGCTTTGGTGCAGAAAACAAATCTACAGTCATTTGAAAATGGTTCTAATCTAATCTACAAATTATGAAAATTATTAGAAATGGAAGGCAGGCATGACAGAACCAACAACACTTTGTTTTTAAAGCCCTCCAAGACTAATATTTTTAAGGCAAGGGGATGTATGATGTAACTTTCTTTTTACCCAACAAAACTTATAAAACAAACAAATGTGTATTGTTTCTACAAAAACAATTTTAACTAAGCAAGGTAGACAGTTACCTTTATTGTTATTGGTGCAGGCTGGGGGATATTAAAAAGGTTACTTAATTTAGGCAACACAAAGACAAGAATATAAAATATGAACCAGAAGGGTCAGATAAATTGGAAAAAGATATGGTTTAATGTACTTTCCTGAATAATGAAGGGCATTTTTCTTATTGGCTGGCAACTTACTCTGGACTGTGGAGGTGGGGGTCTGCCTGGACTCTGACATCTGAGAGGAGCGACTCTTAGAGCTCAAAAGGCCGCTCACTAAGCTGCCCAGACGGAGGGCTGAGGGGCAGGGGGTGAGCCAGCATGCATACGGGCAAGGATATAACACAAATCAATGTCATATGTGCTTTCAATGGCAGCAGAAGGGGGCCAAAATAAAGAAAAATAAATACTTTAGAAGGAGTATGGGGATCAATTTGAGGATTATCATTGTTTGTTGGGGAATGGAGTGGAAAAGACAAACTGCAGAAATCTACAGAAAGACTGTCTACCTTTCACATCCTCATCTTCTATAGTGGTGTTGGCACTTTCAATGGACTCCTTGCAAAAATGACAAATACAAGGTAAACATATAATTTGTCAGTTTCAAACACAATAGTAATAGATACATTTATATATCAATATAATATATACAATATGCAGCTCACAAAAAGTGAGAAGCACTAAAATGTTTAGCTTTAGTAGCTGTTTGAATGGAGATCCTCAGATTCAACAACAAAATAAAAAGAAAACTTTGTTCCTTTAATTTTGTGAGCATTATTAAAACATAATCAGCACTTATTTTAATTTCCTTTCTTAATGAAATGCTCATAACCATAT